CCTCTGGCTACACCATTGGTTACACCATAGGATCTCCATTATTACTCCGGCTTTTTACACCTGGTTTTTAAATCTGGGAATGAACTATATATTAAATCACAAAGGGAGAAAAGCTGTATTGAGACTTGACCATACATAATCTAAACAGAAACTTTTGCAGAATTAAAATAAACAAGGAAAAGAAAGAAAGAATGATGAGGAAATATCACAACTCTTGTAACAATCCTTGCCAATGTAAGTATTAATGTCATTTTTGGTTTTTGTAAAAAAAAAAAACATCCTTCTAAGGCTCTTTAAGTTTTTGTTTTAGCAGAAGAACAGATGGGACAAAAATTATCTGCTTTCTTAAGAGCACTTTGCTGCAATGAACTGTGGTTTCCAGTAGAGGACATCCACTGCTCACACAACATAAATCTAGTTTGTTACAGAAGGAAGCCAAGAAGGTGATAACATTGGTAACACATTCAGAACCAATGATTTTATTTACCCACTCCTCAAAACTTTACAAATCCTATTTGTGTCCACCCAGCGAATTAGAAATGTATGCCTTTTGCTTCCATACATTTAAAGTTTGTTTCTTCATTTACTCTAAACAAATGCTATTCTTTCTATTTCAGGTTGATGAATTTATTTATTTTATTTTACTTTTGCTATATTCGCATGAGCAGATACAGTGAGTCACTATAACTGTACCTGAGAAAGTTGAGGCTATCCCTGCAACAATAAACAAATGATAAAGTCAGGAGATACAGTCAGTAAGAAAATGAAGATGCTGCATTTTAAAGCCTCGTTGCTTCCAGCTGTTACTCTTTGAGTGAGCATTTTCTGAATCCTATTAGCCCAAATATGATAGGAATATGATATTCCTATGTTATTAAGGAATGCTCAAAATTCTGAAAGTTATATTTCACCAGATTCAACACAAAGACGCACATGCGTACAGAATCCTAATGTAAGGTAAACATTGTGATATCTAGGCCTATCCAATCCTCCATTAAACCATGATCAACCTCAAACTTAAAAAAAAAAATCCTAGACCTCTGCATAGAGACAATGGTTATGGCCTACTGTTTGGTTTCCCAATCTATAGCAGCAGATATTAAAATGAATATGGTGTCTTAGCTATACTACTATAGACAATTCCAACTGGCATCTTGACGGGCACGAAGTGGAGCAAGTGAGGACATTTAAATACTTAGGTCTTCATTTTGCGGCATCAGGGGCATGGACCCAACATCTAAAATTAAGTATTGCAAAAGTTGATAATGCTGCACAGGCAATTCATAAATTATGCAACCACAATTACCCGGGTTCCTTGCGCCCCTTTCTGAAGGTTCTTAAGGCAAAGGTGTTCCTCATCGCTTTGTATGGAGCTGAAATATGGTGTGAGCAAGACCCTTTATTGGTAGAGAGATTTCAACTGTGCCACCTGAAAATTGGCTTAGGTGTGGAGAGATCATCCCTGTCAGCTGCAGTGAGAGCAGAGACGGGAGTACCCCCAATTTCCACCACAATTCTGAAGAGGCAGATCAATTGGTGGTACAAAATAAGACAAATGCAACCACACAGACTTCCAGCCATATGCCTTCTTGAACAAGAAAACCACAAAGAGTGGTCATCTTGGCTTAGCAGATTTGGTCACACAGTCAGGAGGTTAGGTTTTGCCCCCCGTGAGTTAACAAATTTTGGGGCAAACGTATGCTCAATTGTATACCAAAGAGCTCTCGACATTGCTGCACAAAATGATCTAATGAACATGGCGCAAGCTAGAGCCACTCCATACCTGGCCAAATTTAAATGTAACATGGACATGGAACCTTACCTCTCTTTTATACTTCCACTTTATATTAGAAAACTTTTTACCCGGGCTAGATTTGAGCAGCTCGACATTAAGTCCAAGTTGGGACGACATCAGAATATTCCCTACACGAGGAGAACCTGTGGGTGTCGTGAGGTAGATGCAGAAGTGGAGGACTCAGAACATTTTTTCTTAAAATGTCCCTACTATAACAGGATCCGGTCTTACTACCTAGAGCCTCTGCTAGAGAATCATACTTATTTAGAGAATAAGGAGAAATTGCACATCCTCCTTCAGGGTTCAGATAAAAACTCTATTTTAAAATTGACCCTTTTTACCCAAAAAGCGCTGGCCATCCGTGAGAAGATGGAAGCAGAGAGAGGTGACCTTGCTGCCATCAACAAAACTCAAACTTAAAAACTTAATATGGACATGCCACTAGTTTTACCTACCCATGCCCCCGCCTAAACCCTACTTTAAGGAATTAATCATTTTTAATCTTTAAATCTTTTTATCTTGTAGTTGCTCAATTATTTAGAGTGGGTCGACAGGCCAGTAGACCATGATGCCTTGTATTCATATATGGTTTTACTGTATGTGTATGTTTTGTATGTTTTTCATGTTTTGATATGGTCAAAATTGACTAATCAATAAAGAATTGTATGAGAATTGTAGTATAGACAATCCCTCATGGCTGAGTATGATTGTCTGACTAAGGATAGAGTCTTGGTGGTGGGTTCAGAAATGACTGTAGAAACCAATTCTGTACTGACATGGTCCTTTGCAGCGAGGACATAAATTTCCATATAGAAAGTGGTCATGAGAAGGATTTGCCTGATACACCTTCCTCTTGGCATGTTTCCCCTTCCACCCTCTATTTGTGATTCTTCAAAATCCATGGAACTATTGGTAACAACTGACGTCCAGTTATAGTGCTTGAAGGTGAGGGAGTCCCAGTTTATTTCACATTTTAAAGGTTAGTTTTAAGCCCATCTTTAAATCTCTTTTAATGTCCACCAGCATTCTATTTTCCATTCTTGAGCTGAGAATAAAGTAACTGCTTTGGGAGACCATGATCAGGTAATTGGCCAACATAGCCAGTTCAGCAAAGCTGATGGTGGATGATTATTGCTTCAATGCCAGTGGCCTTTGTTTCTTCCAGAAAATTGACATTTGTCCAGCTGTCTTTGCATGATTTTTCAAAGAATCACAACACAGCTGGAATCTTTCTAGAAACCGAGAGTGGCATTTCTAGATGGTCCATGTTTTGCAGGCATACAACCGTTGGAAGTGCAATAGTCTTATAAACAAGCATCTTATAAACAGCAATGGCCAAAAGCCACACAGGGCTGATATGGGATAACTCAGAGGGATATTTTGGCTGTGTGAACATACCCAATATTATTTCTTCCATCACAGCAGACTTGGGCTCCCAAATGTAGACCTGACCTCTCAGGTTGAATCCACACTGCAAAATTATAGCAGTTTGACATGGCTTTAACTGCCTTGGCTCAGTGCTATAGAATTCTGAGATTTCAAATTTAGTGATGTATTTAGCTTCCGCTGAAAGGCTCCTTGCACACAGCTGTATAAAATCCACATTGAACTGGAATATATGGCAGTGTGGACTTAGATAACCCAGTTCAAAGCAGATATTGTGTATTATCTGTCTTGATATGCTGGGTTATATGGCTGTGTGGAATGGCCCTTAGAGGGCTTTGGTGGCACAACAAATGACAAATCTAAGGATTCCATAGGATGGTCTCATTTTTTTTCCAAAAAGGATATCTCTACTGAGGTCATGTTTTTTTTAATCTGGAAAGGAAAGGAGAGAGAGTACCACCATACTCAAATCTCTACCACTGTAAAAATCAAGGGTATCATACATCAGTAATCTTTTCTGGCCTTGAAAAGTTGCAGTCCAGTGTTATTCAAGGTTTTCCAACAGTATATAAGCTTAAAACCTACTAAACCTAAAATATTGAACAGTGATTTATTCCTTCCTTATTCTGGTGTGGAATGCAAAAAAATAAGATCATATAGATGTGATTACTATTAACATAATACTGGAATTGAATAGGGACCCAATAAGCTTCCTGTGTTCGGGGCTGCACATGAATTGGAAACTGTGCTTACTGAATGTCTAAGAACTTCTGAGAACACGTAAAGCTGAGAAAACAAGTTGTCACAGATTCACTGAAGGGCAGTGAGGATGAAAGGCAGTATGGCAAACTAAACATGCAAAGAAAATTGAAGGACAGGGCATGTTCAGCCCAGTGAAGAGAAGACTGAAGGGTGACATAATTGCATTCTTTAAATACTTCAAGGGCTGCCAAGAAAGATGTAAATTTGTTCACTGCTGACCAAGATTGGTCAGCAGTTAGGACTACATCTAATGATTTGATGTTACAGGCGAATAGGTTTCAAGTAAACTCTAAAATGAACTTCTGGAGAGCAAGAGTGGTTTGCCTAGGGAGGCGGTGGGGTCCTTTTCTGCAAAGAGCATCTGCACAGCTACCTGCTGTAGATACTTTATCTGAAAATTCTAGATTGAGCTAGATGGACTAGAATATTAGATGGACTCTGAGGCATATTCTAACTATATGTTTCTATACGTGACAATGACTTTTAAAACATTTAATAGTGTAACAGTAATGTGTGAGAACTGGTGTGCTAAGCTACATTTTGTATCGTTTATTAGTAATTAAAGAAATTTTAATTGTTTTGGCCATTTTTAAATTCTATTTTTTATTTTTGTAAAAATATTTTAATTTAATCTTATTTAAAATAATTGTAAAACACCTTGGATGCCAACACAAGAGAAAAGTTGGGTATAAATTTAATAATAAAATTCCCAATATATTATTGCTATTATATGGCGGAATTGAGCCATGTTCATTAATGCTATTTTGCTTGCCTTAAGCCTGAAACCCTGTCCAGTCTCAAATGACAGTCTGTGTGGTTATTATTGTATATCTCTATGAAAAAGTCACAATAATAATAATAATAATAATAATAATAACTTTATTTTTATACCCCGCCAACCATCTCCCCTAGGGGACTCGGGGCGGCTTACAAGGGACACGCCCAAATAATGTACTCAATCTTTCTCAAATCTCTCTTTCTGTCTTCTAAGATAGTTTATGCTATGAAAATGTAGATCAAACTATCCCAAGGAAGAGAAATAAAATGATTTCCAAACCTTGTTTGAGTTCCTCCAAAGTAAAGCTGTGAATCTCTAAATCCTGATGAAGTATTACTGGGTTTAATTTTCTGTAATGTTCAATATCACTGCCATAAATTCCATTTAGTATCAGCCCATGCCAGGGTGGGGTAACAATATAAAATCTTAACAGATCTTGCGGGATGTCAAAATCTTCAACATTAATGGTGTCAGGTCCTATTGCTGCAGTGTTTCCTTCCATTACCTAAAGGAAAAGATGATTTCCAATTAAATTTCAAACTTATGCATAAAGAGTAGTGTACACTTTCTTTCAAAAGTTCTAAAAGTTTATGTTGAGTTCTCAAAACAGAAAATATATTCAAAAAACTATACAAGCATAAAAGTTCAGTATTAAAAACTTTGGTGACAGAGGCTTTCTGATTTTCATATGGTTATCTTAGAAGCCTTTTTACATGTTCCTGATTTTCACAAAGCTGTGGAGAATCTCCTTACTTTTCCAACCAATATTTAGACTACATCAGCTTTCTTTTCCTTCTAAACTCTTGACAATGCCTTGTTTCTCCAATTTATTAAAATCCCCTCTTTCACAATAATCTTAATCTTTCACTTGCTGCGGCATCAGCAGAGATTGTGTTCAGTGCATCCCTATATTTTAGAAACATTTTTCAAGGCTCACTAATGGCAACTTCCATATAAAGAGAATATGGGGAAAAGGCAAATGAAGAAACCTATGCATCCAAACTGGTTATCAGGCAAGCTACAACTTCATTTTAATTCAAAAGGCAATGAAAAACAAATGTACAGTTTCAAATTTGTGTTAGAAATTAAATTAAAATGCCATTCCAGTTTTGGAACATATGGGCATTTGGATTCTATGTGATATACATTCAAATTTTGCTTTGAATTTCTATGCTTGAAAGCATCTTGAATTTGATTTGGAAACTATATATTTAGTTTTCCTAATAAATTTTTAAGTATTGGCCAGCCAACCAATAGCATACTATTTCCCCCTAAAATCTCTACATAATTTACAGAGCTGGAAATGCAATTTGTAAATGAAATCTTGTTTCAAAAATTTCTTTGTTGCCATCTCAAATGCATTTCAGCTCCATTTTTTTACACACTGCAATTGGACAGCTTTACAGTAACACCCCAATTAGTTTATACTAGTTCAGCTTTCATCAAGAGACTTGTATGATAAATAAGAAAACTCCTGGCAAAGAATTACCTTGCCTGCTCCCCAACATATGCACACATATTTATTTAAAAAGAAGCCATACTGCATATGTCCCACCACGTTTTTTTGCACTTCAGCTAACATATAATACAGAGTGTGGAGCTGTCTCTTTTCTCTATTTGTAGATTGTTTACTTTCATGTCATGAAGAAGCAAACCAATGTGTCTAAACAATTCAGATACCTAGTTACATGGCTCATCTGGTATGTTGGTCCAATTCCATTAGAAAGTAAGGGTTTTTTCTCCATCTTGTAACAACGCAAAATGGGGAAAGCATTTCATACTAAGGATCAAAACCAGTTTGATTGGATTCACATTCAAATATATCAAAAAAGCCATAATGTGTTAGAAGTGCGGTTTTCTTGTGTTCATGGGTATGTCTGGACTTGCCATTGCAATTCTATATACAATTTCATTATGCAGGAGGGAAGTGAAGAAAGAAATGTCATGAAATACCATAACTTCATGGAAAACAGCATTTGTGCACTTCTAAAGTCTTGTTGAAATAAAATATGCACTTCATCTCAAATGCTTGCACATTTACAAATATTTCATGTTTTTTCTATAAATAAAATATATGCAAAGCCATTGCCTATATTTAAAAAAATGTGAATTAATAACATGGGGGTGAAGGAGAAACATGCAGAGACCAATGTTAGAGGGGAAAGGCATCATACATTAGATACATTGCACAAATGAACATGTACATTAGGCTAAACAACTGCACAGATTGCAAAGGGGGGGGGGGGAAACAAAGCAAAATCTTGCTACCAAATACTGAACAGGAGAGAAAAAAGGAATTTTGTTAAATAGAAAAATATTGCATCCTTTGTTCACTAAGGAAAGTATGCACATATCGTTATTCAAAAATGCATTTTATTTAGGGTTGCTTCACATATTTTTCTGACATGTTGCAATGAAATATGTATTACTGTCATATCCCAGGAGTCTGGCAGTGGTCTCAATGCTGACCATTTTGTGTGCAAACTGGAGAAAGTCAGCCTTTCGCCAACAGTAGAAGAGACTTCATTTTTTTCAGCGTCTATTTCAATAGCTTTCCAAAAGTAGGGGTAGATGAAACTGGAACTGGAACTTGGCTGCTAAAACCAATATTCCAAGCCAACCATATATTATAAAGTTAATTGAAGACTGCAAAATTGTTTCACAAACTTTTAATGACACATTCCCAATGCTTACAAAAAATAATATTTTATGAACATTTCACTATTATTATGATATTTTATGTTGGAATTTTATTGCTATCTATTAAAATCAATTGAGAACTATTTTTAAATCCCTGTTCACATTCAACTATACAACAACTTGTGAACATGGTCTGTTGTTGTTGTTGTTGTTGTTGTAGTAGTAGTAGTAGTAGTTTTATAATAACTGCAAGATGAAAAAATGCCTCCTTCCAGTTTATTACAAAGACTTTTTAAGAATGAGATCAAAGTTCAACAAGATTAATATCTAGAACTTAGAAAATTACTTTTTAAAATAATTTGTTTCATTACTCATAATAGTGTTTAAAAAGTAGTTGATTCCTGTTACTCATTAGAGGGAAGAATAACTCTTTACATTGGTTGATAATGTGCTCATTTTGTCCATTATTTTTAAAAGAAAAATATGCATAATCTGATAAGCAAACAACATTAAACAGGAACAATTTGTCTCTCAGGATTGCACCCTTCTTAGCCCTAAATTTACCTACTTACATGTAATGACATTACTTATAACTTATTACTTCCAAGTGCAGACTGTTTAATGCAGAAGTAGCTGTCAAACTACTTTCATTTCAAATTTCTAATAAGAATATACTGTTTCCTTCAAAGCAGGGAAAAAAAATTGCAGCAAAACAGATGCAACCACTCTCTTTCTCACCTCAAGCACACATATATTCAATTCCTCACACATACCCCTTGAACCATAAATGAAGCAATGCATAAGAAGGGCTTCAGCTTTCATTCATCTTCAAACATTAGGATTAGGTATTAGGATATTCTCAGGTGCAATTTGTGTTGCTTTCAAGTTTAGCCACCACGTGTGCAGCATTCATTTAGCTCTTCACATGTTTCTCATTCAGGGTCTTACACCAGCTGAGAACCACATATGGAGGCTTAGATTTACAAAGCTTTCATTCTGTGCCATGGAAGCTGACCAGAAATACCTTCCCACATGCTTGAATGTGGTATGTTTGTGGTGTTCTCTTTTGCTTACTAGAGGCATTCTGTTCTCACGTCTACAGTTGCGTTAAAAGAAATCTACTTGATTTCAATGAGTTCGTCCCCATTCCCCTCTTCCTCTTCTTATTGCTTTACCTCTCTCTTACCTTGCCACTTCAGTTTGATTTGGCATGCTCATCCATCAATACTAGTTTTATAATGGAAGAAAATGATTTTTTTTTAACTTTTGTACATATTGTATATTCTCAGTATATGTCAGCCTCAAAGGAACGTTTGGGGTGTCTGTATAAAATTATGGATTTTGATGTGACCTGTGAATAAGTCTATAGTACTTCTGTGGAGAAAAAAATACTGACAGAATTTCCATGTCCAAGCATCCAGGAAGGCCAAATGTGGCCAGTGCTCTCTTTAGTTTCTCCCAGAACAGGTTAAATTCTTGCCTTTCACCACTCTAGTCAGAAAAGGGTTTTTTTAAAATAAGAGTTAAGGTACACTACTTACATAGACCTATGGATAAATTAACTCAGGTTTTGAGGGTCAGTTTTCTGAAGCTAATATTTCTTGAATGCAGCATATAGTGCAATATATACACTAGGTTCCTAGAGATAAAGGCACCAAGAATCACCACAAAATGATGAGGGAAGTAGGTTTCAAATATCTTAATTATTTCCACCTTCCCATCATCCCCCTCTATTCCATAGAGTGGTACTAAATATTATTCTTAAAACATACAGTACTGTTTTATATGCCTTTAATAAAGTCTTAAGTAAGATGTATTACTATGTTTATATCTGTTGTAGCTGAACTCCTTTTCTATACTATTTGCCTAATTCTTAGCATCATTTTTGTTTTGGCTAATATGCTTGTATGTTCTACCAGCCAAGAAGGATTAATTCATTGGGGAAAATGTGTAAGAAGACATTATTCACTCATGCCATGATCTTTCATCAGTGATGTCTGCAAGGAAGACAGACATGCATTCACATATTTTACTGTAAATATTTGGCCCTAAACTAGTATGATCCCTTGAGGTTGTTCAGCAAGATGGGGAAATGATTTAGATCAGAAAAATGTTCTGCTCAAAGGTAAATGCTCCCTTTTTCAGAGTCCAATTCCAACTTTCACATCTGTTTTTAAACTTAAGTAAGTTTCCTTTCTTAACCAGTTTTGCCCCATGAATTTAAAAAAGAATACTAAACATTTAATGTGTTGAAATTGCAGATCCCCCTAGTTTAAAACATCAGAAATAGGTAACACAAAAGGATCTTGAAGAAATTTTGAGATTAACTGTGAGAAAGAGGCCAGTAGCATACAATTTTGTAGACTATGGTCTTGTATCTCATAAAGTAGACTTAACTCTACAAAATCTTATGCCACCAAACTGTGTATATTGAACCAAGCTCAAATGACTTTGTAGGTAGGCAATATACTATTTTGATTGTCTGGCATTGGATGCAATTTATTTAGTTGTGTATATACATGTTTTAAATGTGTGCTTAAAACGTTTGACAGTTTTCTTACATTTCCAGAAATTTCTCCGAGAAGATCCTGAGAAGATCTTTAAAACTGGATCTTGAGATCCTCTCTTTACTCAGTTCTCATTTTGAGCAGACAGAAGATTAACTGAGACTGACTCTGCCAAATTAGGATATGAAACTAACTTCAGCATAGGATCTCATACCATGTGATTCATATTTCCTGCAATTTCCCAGCATTTTGGAGCTTTAGTGAGAGTCCTTAGCACAACACGTGAAGCTGTCATTAACAGAATAAGACTAAAGATATTGGGAATCTTTTGCTACTTCCTATGGGATCTTTCATTGGAAAGACATGTCCCCGACTACAGTATTTCCTGCAGATTACAGAAAATATATTAAACACGAATAGCAACATTATACAGTACCATAATTATATACTAGCCCACTGAATTGATGTTTTTATACTTTGTATTTTGTGAACATTCTTTACAGAAACCAAAGAAGAACATATATGACTTACTGTTATGTTTCTGAGTTTCAGCTGTGGGATTTCATCATTAACTGGAACGATGACAATGTAGAAAGGCATTGCTATGGATTTATGAAGGCCATCACTTACTGATACCATGAAACCATCAGAGATGGGTTCCAAATTCTCATGCTTAGACTGAACATAGTTGATATAACCATCCTGGATGTTCTGAACTGTGAAGACACCTTTTGGAGAGAGTCTGGGTGTTAAAAACAGACAATGATACTTTCCAGTTTTTTTTTACACTTATTTCTAAGGGCATGTTCAATAGATATGATGATTAATTTCTTAACTAACTCCTTCAGAAGCATGCCTGAATACATACATTTTGGAGACTCATAATTTATATTTTTCAATGGTATTATACTTGTACTTGTATCCTTTGTATATACACCTAAAATATATCATGCAAAGTACCTTAGCAATGTAATTCTCTTTCCAGTTCTGCTTTCCCCTTCCTTTCTTAGGATTCTTTATAACTCCTTGCTTCTATATTTAAGACTGTGTTAAAGCATTTATGATAGTTTTCAATACCAAAGAGCTCTTTTAAAATCACTACTATCTGTTTCATTTAAAAGATGAAACAGATTTTTTTTGTTCTAAAGATAGGTAGATTATGTTCAGCATTTGGAAAAGAGACTCAAAATTTCAAGCTCCCTTTCTATATACTAGGGTTTTGAGAGTTCATTGTAGCTTTCTGCAAAAGGATTGTTTTCATGACAGAGAAGAAATGAAATTGTATGTGTTATTAATTTTTAAATCCAGAGAAAGCATTTAATTTATATTTCTAAACACCCTACTTAGCTTGGAAGGTATCTACAGAGATGGTAAAAGTCTCAAATAACATCTGCTCACTGCTTGGCATTTGTGTGTCTAGTTTAGTGCCTGCTCATAGAGCAACACATTTGCAACTCACTTATATTCAAGCCCACATTGCTCTTCTCATATCCAGGGGTAGGAAGAGTATTCTCCAGGTAACCATACAAAGGATTTGTCTCTAAGAAGAAAGTTAACTTCTCAGGTTTTGAGTCTTCATCTTTGGCATCCAGATATTTTAAACTGATAGTTGTTGAAGTGCCTTCGTCCACTACAAATATCTCTCCTTGAGGTAAAGCAGAAGAAGAACATTATTTTCACTATTCCAGATTTAAGGCTGTACTTTGATTATTTTACAATTAAGAGGAGACTAAGCCTTTACAGCCTGCCTGTCTTCCTAGCAGCTCAACTTAATCAGCTATTGATTTGGGCAGTTGCTGCTCAGAAAAGCAGTAGTGAAACTTTATTTCAGCTTAAGATAACTTACTCAGCATTATTGGGATGGCACATATCTCTGTTTACAGTTACTAGCATAAATGAAGTAGTCTTTCTTAAAGTGCCTGAAGAGTATGTAAAACTATAACATATCAGTTCAGTTTAGAGCCAAGAACTGCAGAATTCAAATCACTTTTCTCTAATCTTGTCTACCATTCCCAAATTGTTTGTATGATGCTCATATCTATGGATTCAAAATGCATGCAATCACTGAGCGAGCTAAACTGCTTAGAAATCTCTCTTTGTAAAATGTTGTTGCACTACAAGGCAGCAGGGATGGGACAATGTTTCCGTTTTTCCTAAAGTGACCACAGAAACCTAAACAGGCATAACAGAACCTGGCAGCATTCCATCCCAATTTTCCACACAGAGAGCTCACAATGTCTTCTTTCCATAGGGAATGCACCAGAGTGCAGTAAAAAAGGCATAAATAAACTGTGGACCAATCTCTCTCTCTCACACACACACACACACAACACACACTCACTCACACACACACACACACACACACATTAGCCACAGCAAATATGAGCGGGAAAGACATGAATGGTCTTGCTGCAAAAGGTCACAATCAAGATCTGCTAAGAAAAGTATTTCCAACTAACAACAAAGATAACAGTATGATTCCATACTGTCGTTCATAGTCTGACAATGCATTACAGTTCTCTGGCTGTAAATCCTAAATTCCCCTCCCTCAAATGAAAATCCCAGCATTTCGCAGAAGGAACCACAGCAATTAAAATGTATGATAACACAACAACGGTGTAGTGAGAAAGGACCTATAAACTACCCTTGCTTCCATATCAGTGAGGTAGTGGTTTTGATCCAGACTTCACAAGACCTATCCAAAGTACCTAATACTCTCAAATTAGATTCAGCACCTTGGATAGCTCTTAAAGTTATCACAACAATCCAGAGCAAATCAGTCCTGATATGGAAAAAGCAAGCCACCGTGAAATTAGAATTTGGGGGGGGGGGGGGGGGAATTTCTCATTTATTAGCAGCAGAACAATATTTCGTACCAAATGGGAATCTCTGCTGAGAATAATGCAGCAGCGGATAATGGTTTTTCTTTCATTTTTTGCCTTTTGTGAAGTTACTTGGATAGCATTATTAGGCTGCACAATATTTTTAATCACAGGACATCTGTTTCCTGAACAGAAAATGGAATATTTTGTGTAGGAATTGTATCTTTTACAAAGTGGGGGGGGGGGAGGGGGAGGCAAAAGGATAGAGTGTGTGAATTGGCGTGTGTGGAGTTAAAAGTATGTGTATTTCTGTGAAGCATAATTCCCCTAGAGACTTCACAAAGTGTGAATACCTTTTGAGAACAGTCCAGAAATCTACATTTTGTTTTTGCCATGATGGGAAAAAACTACAGAGACTATTCATTCGTCCATGTGAATATTTGCATCTCTGGTATATATCACAAATTTGCTTAAGGCACATTTCCATTTCTAGCCTTACTTAACCAAATCAATGTGCTCACCTTAAACTGGGTTTCTGATTCAAAGCAACTTCACATTTCAAAATTTTGGATGAGGTTATGTAACTGCTGGGGTGGTAGTGGAGATTTTGAGACATACTGAGTACCAGTAAATCCTCCTGCTCTAGGCAGTGAGACAATGTTCCCTTCTCTCTGGAGACAAGCAAGAGAGCAAGGTTCCTATGTTGACAGGGAGGATTGCATTTAATTTCACCATAAAATGAGTGAGTTGCATTTAATTAGAAAAGAAAGGACATCTTTGTTTCATTACTAAGAGCAAGCAAATAACCTTTTTTTTAAAAAAAAAAAGAATGAAAAGCAACAAGACAGTGAAAGAAAAGCTACAGAAAATCTTGATGCTGATTTTTTTTTGTTAAAAGAGTGCACAGATGGAATGGAACTGTGTCACCAGTGACCTTGCTTATTCTTCCGCACCAGTTGCATTTTTCCAAGTTCTCTTATTCTATTGGAGCTATGGACCTCCCACTCCCACTTGTATTGCGCCTTGTCTATGTGGAATGTAGAAAGAAAATACAGAGGCTTTGCTACATTTTAACCTAGATAGGCAAGCATTTGTGTGGACATGAGTGTGCAATGAAACCTGGATTTGGGATACAAATGGAGGAAACCCATTGCGTAGGACTCTTGAATACTGAATTATTAGGGATTGATACTGTTGACTCTGCTAAATGTATTATTTGTTATCTATGGAAAAACAGATGAAAAGCATGGATAAGAATTTGCATTCAAAATGCAAGTCACAAACATTTTTCTCTGGGGGCAATCATTTGGTGAAACCAATATCACTGGAAACATAGATCTTCCAAGCCATTTTTCCATCTGAAACAAATAATATGATAGAGCTCCTCCTCTTATTCCACTACAGCATTTGATTGTTATTTCAATGATGATTGCTTTTGTTACATCAGATGGCTAGCTAGTTGCATATAAGGTAGTCTTTATTTATTCTCTAGGCCAGTGGTTCTCAACCTGTGGGTCCCCGGGTGTTTTGGCCTAAAACTCCCAGAAATTCCAAGTGGTTTATCAGCTGTTAGGAATTCTGGTAGTTGAAGGCCAAAACATCTGGGGACTCACAGATTAAGAACTACTGTTCTAGGATCTGCCATGTGAAGTAAACACCGCATTCTATCAAATGGTACAGCCAGAATTGGACTTAACACAGTTGGTATTGCATTTTCCTTTCAAAACCTGCATGTCTAACCACTCCCGCCCCCACCATCCCCCTCCCCCCACCCCATACACAAGCCACTTCCATTTATTGGAAAATAAGCAAACATTTAGGTCTCAAATAGACATGTTGACATCAAGGTTTCAACATTATGATATGTGAAGAATCAGATCTTTGAGAATTCCGATATCACTATCTTTCAGATTTTGCACTTCTCTGAAGATTTTAACAGAATTTTTGGCTGAAATTTTTGAAGTATATTTTGAAGGAGTTCAAACTTTAAATGTTTTCGTGTATTTTTTACATAAAATGCATATTAAATGTAGAAACATGATGGAACATATTTATTTAGGAACACATGTGAAAATGACCTTACCCTTCCATTCTCAGAAACTTGTACTAGATTAGATTGTACTGTTAACAATTCATAGTTAATGAGATTGTAATGATTCAGGGTTGTATCCAAGGTTCCCAGTTTCTCTCAATTAGCAAATGTGGCATCAACATTTTCATTTTTGAATATGAAAAACCAATTTTGGCAGGCAGCAAGACATTGTCATCATGGAGAAGAAAAAATGGGGACTATTTTTTCTATCACTGATGTTTTTGGACCCATGCCTGTTTTGTTTTGTTTCTAAAAGCCTGACACAGGTTTGGTAGGGAGATTGTTAGAATGGGTACCATTTTTGTCCACCTTCCACAACTGCGTACAAAATTCTCTGGATGCCTTTTGTATCCCTTCAAGCTATATCAACACCCCTTCGACACAGATTTTAACAACTCTGCATTGCCCAGTGAAGAATGATTAGTTTCTTTTTACTATACAGTTCAGGTTTCAACCTTAAGATACAGAACATTGGGAACAGCTCAACACATACATACCAGTTTGAATGGATGGCTCCTGATTGTTAATGGGCAGAATTGTGAAGCTCAGATCATGCACTCGTAAACTAGGATGAAGTGGTATAGATGATGGGAATTTTGTATCAATGCAACAGTCATCTCCTATTCCAGTTTCTCCATCTGAGATAACAAAAGTTATGCTGTCCACAATATATTCACAACCTATTTCTCCACCTAGAGAACCAATACACACAAACATACATGGGCTATTAATATCCTAACAGGCTTCAAAACAAGAAATATTAAATGTTGTTTCCATAAGATGAGAAGAATGGTGGAAAATATTAGTACATGCAAATTAGAACCATTTTCCTCAAGCAGTCCCACCAAGTGATCACTGTAAATAACACAATTGGTGGTCACCTTTTATGACAAAATGCTGCTAGTATAGTTGACACTAAGTACACTCTGTAGAGAACGCAATATGCTAGGCAAATAGGTATCCCAGGTCTACATCACAAGTGTTCTACTGCAATGCAACTATTTAAAGACAGGTGGAGTAGTAAGAGATGGACAAAATGTGACATGATTTTATATGCCACCCTGCCAACATTAAGAAGGAGCAAAAACAAATATACCTATAGTTTGTTGAGCAAAATTTATTTCCATTTAGCAATTGGATTTCAGCTAAAGAGAAAATCTTCCATCCACCTAATGGTCTGCAAGATACTTTTGTTTTTTTGAAATGCAAAGAAAAACTCTATAAAATGAAAACATCCCTTAAGATCTCACAGTTGCAGAAAATGGAAAAACACATCAAGGAAACTCAAAATGGTGACTTTCAAGCTAAATATGGATGATTTAAAAATAACTTGTAAGGAAGACAGAACATTTTTGCTTGGCTGAGATCTGTATAAATTTGACAGTACTTCATTTCCAAAGGTTTTTTTTTAATGAAGGGGCGAAATAGATCAGAAGTACACTTTTATTTGTTGTCTTGAGAGGAGTGTGATGGAGAGGCTGGTAACAGAACAGGGTAGATTTGAATTAGAAAGGAAGATTGACAGAAACTCAAGTCCCTTCTCTCCATCTCACAACTTTCTCAGGCTTGTTGGCTGTGAACAAGGGAGAGGGCCTCCTTAGTGGCTGCTCCCAGTCTTTGGAATTCCCTCCTTAGCAAGGCAAGAACCGAAATATATATTTTTTGTTTTGTATAAGGTTTTAAATGTAATGGTTTTGAACTTTAAAATTATTTACATCTTTTTAAATGGCATTTATAGTTATATATTAATTTATAGTTTTACTATTGTATTTATTCTATTTTTATTTATAAATCTGTTGGACACAGGATATGAATGAATGAAAGCATATCTGCATCTCACTAATAAGAAACAATTATTTTGGGTTAAAGGGGAAATGAGATAATCTGTCGATTCTAAAAACTGAGAAGAAGAAGCTGTTACTAAGAGAGGTTTTTTTTGTCATGTCAGAGTGACTTGAGAAACTGCAAGTCGCTTCTGGTGTGAGAGAATTGGCCATCTGTAAGGACTTTTCCCAGGGGATGCCCAGATATTTTGATGTTTTATCATCCTTGTGGGAGGCTTCTCTCATGTCCCCGCATGAGGAGCTGGAGCTGACAGAGGGAGCTCATCCACGCTCTACCCGGATTCGAGCCTGCGACCTGTCGGCCTTCAGTCTTGCCAGCACAGGGGTTTAACCCACTGTGCCACTGGGGGCTTCACTAAGAGAGATGATGAACAATGACTTTGGGGGTTCAGCACTTGAGGGAATGCCTCTTGTTATATATGTCCACCAAAGAACCACCACTGGTGATTGCCGTACATTGTGGGAGGACATCAGAGAAGGACTTCTTGCTTTTGATTAAACCCATTGGGCCTAACTTATTTTTTTCCAATTTGCACACGTTCTGTGGTTGGTATTATTCAAACTAGCTAAAACTGTGAAATTATCTGGTTTTAATTAATAAATGGTTTAGTATATCTTTAGTCCTTTAAAAAACTATATATTATATAAAATGATTTTATTGTAAATTGCCCTGAGATACTCAGGTAGAGGGTAGGTTATGAAAATAATAATACAGACGAAAGAAAGAAGAAATGAAGAGAGGAAGCAAGGAAGGTACATTGGGAGGGAGGACTGCCACTTGCTCAATTGTTGAAATACATCTCTTTGGCCACAATATACCTTACCTTGCTGTTAGGTATAAGAAGGGACAGAGGCACTGTAATGACTGCTTTAAGCCCCACTGATTTTTCTGGGAAAGATTTAAGGATATACTTAACTTTTGAAACTAAAATTAATGAGATTTAAAATGCTTAACTCTGGCAATTGTGTGCACATAATATTTTAATGAAAGGTTCATCAGTACCTAAAGATGCTGACCAGCTGATTTTCAAGACTTTCAAGAAACTAAGCACTTTCACAGGCAAGTTCTTTTATAACTAATATGCTATTTATTATATTATAAAATAAAATGTCCTTACTGCCATGCAGCCATTTGGAAGAATGTTCAAATGCTTAAATTTAAAATAACCCAGAAGAGTTGAAGACAACTGAGAAATAACTATCATAATTTTCTTTCACTTGCAGCACCGGCCACTGACGTTGTGAAAAATTAATTTTATGGATGAAATAATACTTTTGCTAATGTGAAAGGAAACTGTGTTGGTTTAAAAATAAAATAAAATGTTTTAAAATAGCATTTAAAATCTTAAGAAGCTGATCTGGCACATAATATAAAATATTTGGGTTTTATAAGTAACAAAAATATACTTTCTGAGGGATATAGTGAAAGGCATTTAGAACAATGCTTGGAAGCCGGAAAAAAGTAGTTATTTACCAGTGTGAACATAAGAGATGGCACCTTGAGTAACATCATGTTGAGAGAATCTATTCACCACAAAGTTATCCTTTTGAATAACACCATACTTTGGCATTTTCACAATCATGTAAGTGAGTCTAGTGTCATCATTGTCAACATCTGTTGCATAGAGATAATCAGCAGTGATGAGAATTTGCTCTCCTTCAAGACACTCCAGGCTTGACTTTAATCCAGGCTGTAGTTCTGGTGGCTCATCATTAACTGGAATGATCTTGAATTAAAGAACAAGAGAAAACACCATTCATAACTAGAAGGAGGCCGAAATATGAACCTTATGTTTCAAACCTCAGTTAAAATAGCACACAGGTGGCCCTCCACATTTGCAGGCTTGAGTTTTGCAAATTTGATTATTCATCTTTGATTGACATGTTCTGTCTTAATCTTCTGTATGACTCTATTGATGCTGACCATAGTCATGTTGGACACTTAGAAATTCCCAGAGGTTTTCTTTCAGCTAAAATATTTGTAATTTCTTTATTTGCATTTTTCACTTTAACAGGGGTCCTGTGCTACTAACACCAGGAAAGTAGAAGCCTGACTGTATTTAATATTTGTGGCCTGCAAAACAACAATGGGTCAAATGTTTGTTTTTACTTGGTAGAGAAAATCTGAAAGTTGGCCAAGTGGCTTTTGATCATTAGAGGTATTTTGTTATGACAAAGTAGTGCATTCTATGGAAACTAACCAAGAATTTTTGTTGATTTGATTCTGCTTTTGTGTATGGAAATAGTTGGTTTCACCATGGTACAGTCCAATCCAAGCACTAATCAGGATTATGACTGCTTAATTTCCAAGATCAATTTCCAAGGTGACTTCAGGCTGGTTGCAGTTTCACATCTATACTGTCAACTTCTGAAGTAATCCTCTAGTATAGACAATTCATGATTGAATGAGTCCATCACACTATGCTTCTGTGATTTGTGAAATTTACTTTCAGCTCCCATTTTATCCCCTTCTTCTTGCATGCACATTGTCCATGTTGATAGAAGCACCACTCATGCCCAGGGGCGGCGCAACCCATTACGCAAAGTAAGTATTTGCAGTATAGTTGATTTTGCCCAGGGGCGCTCTTGAGGAGCTCTTGGGGGAAAATAGACCTTGACATATGCGAGTTGTAGTTACTGGGATATATAGTTCACCTACAATCAAAGAGCATTCTGAACTTCACCAATGATGGAATTGAACCAAATATGGCACACAGAACTCCCACGATGAACAGAAAATATATATCAGTGATTGGTACTCTTTACTTATCGTTGAAAATTACCTAGGGCCGCCTCTGCTCATGCCCCTATCTGTACAGTCAAAACATATGCATTTTGCAGAAACCAGGCCTTCCTCAAGTATATCAAAGCCCTGCAAAGGCTAGACAAAACTCTATTGGCACAATGTCTTCAGACTTACATTCAACCGTACTAAAATCTCTGCAAGCATGTGTTTTCATTTCAATCATAATAGTGCAGTGTGAAAAATGTGGAGCTAAACTAAGAAAAAACAATCTAGGACTCAATAGTTTTAAAGCAAAAGAGCTCAGACTAGGGAAATGTCCGACTTCCAATCTGCAACTTTATATTTTGGTCAATAAATCAAATTGTAATATACAATGTTATTACTATCATGATTAATTATGCCCTTACTTAATAATTTGGATCTACCATCAAAATACTGCAACCAGATTATTTTGATCTGATCTAAACAGAGATCTCTGTGAGAATCTAAGGGGAAGATGCATGGCAATTAAAAAGTTGCTTAGTGGTAGAATTGAAGGCATGTACACACATACACAGATTATTTCTAAGTTGTTATTACCTGTATTCTTAATGTTCCATCTGCAGTGTTAACTCCATCTGTTGCTAAAAATATGACTCTGTCTTCAAGGGTTTCTGTACTGTCATGCTGATACCTTTAAAACAAAATTATAGAAAATTTGTGCGCCCATTAATTATAGTTTCAAACTATCAAGCTGGGCAAGAACAAGCCCTATCAACTGCCACATTACAAACTTATAACATTAATATCGTTTAATCATGGCCACATCTCCAGTTGAGAGAACCTGCTTGGTTCTAGTGAGATTCACTGGCATTAAACGAGTTGTATCAATCACTTATATGGTAGTAACCACAATGAATTTTTGTTCTTGCATAGGAGTCAGACAGAAATAAGTAACAGCTGTTACCTTACTGACATGTGTATTTACAAGGAAGCCATACAGCAAATTCAGAAAATAGGAAGGGATTGACAACTCGGTATTAAATATGTGACATTAATTGTTTTGTGAATAGAATTTGGGCAACTTTTAAGTTTATTGGTGTTTCTTAATCCAAAGTTATCCAGTAACGAATAACCTCCCTGCAAAAGAGAGTGAATCTTTAAGTATGCCCTTCTCATGCTGACTGTATCCACAGGTATTTTATGTGCATCTATTTAAACCAGCTGTTTAATGATACATTCAAAATGTACCTATGAAATGTATAGCAAAAGGCAGATTTGAACTAGGATTCCCCATGCCATCCTCATGTACATTGTCTCTAGATACATTTAAGACTAATATTAAAGGATTTCCTAAATGCATCAGTTATTCTAAAACAACAAAACAGTATAATTTCTTTTTTTTAAATTAATCATCTTACTATTTGAGTCATTATTTGCTAAGCACTAAAAATTACCAAACATTGGAAGAGTGCAAATCCCAAAGGGTAAATTTATCCCCCTCCAGCATTATGTCTCCATGTAGCTTAATGTATCCATGCAAAGGTGATTTCCTTAGTTCAATTTTTATACCACTGGTTTTAGTGTCCAAGTCTGTAACCATTAGATGCTCTGCAGTGATGAATGAATGGCCACCTTCCGCTGTTTTTAGATGATTGGTGAAAATCTAAAATAGTCATAAACTCAAAACAATCACTATCAGGAACAACATAAAACATACATGGAATACAACATGTTAACAACATATTTCTTCAACGATAAGCACATGGAGCTGTTTATACTAAGCCAGACTGCTTGTCCAATGTATGGCAGTGGATGTTCAGGGATTTAGACTTTCAAGAGCTCCTAGGTCTTTGGTAGCCATTCTACTGTACATCTTTGGGGGGAAGGTGGGGGAATTAAGGTTTTGTAAAATCAGCGTGTATTAATTCCCTAGCTGTGATGTGAATTCATAGTGCTTGATTCAGGATGATTTTTATTATTAAATCAGTTCTTATCACAAACAGATCTGTTAGATTTACAGTAGTTCCAAAAAAAAAAAAAAGGCTGAGAAACTGGATAGTCAGCATTACTTAAGAAGGTTTTTAGATTTAGGGTTTATATTGTGATATAACAGAATAAAGAAGTTATTTCTAAAGTGCTTTTCCAAAAATCAACTGGCACATCTAACCATTACCTCTAGCTAGTAATTGGAAAGAGTCAACTACAAAGACGGTGCCATGCTCAGTTCAATCATTTTGGGAAAGGCATTTAGGACTAGAAGCTTAGCCATATTATGCCTGACCTTGAGTCATTAATCAAACAGTGGGTAGAAAACTATCATGATGCTCTTGTTTTCATCAAGTCGTTCATGAAATACCATTTTCAGATCCCAACCTCTTATCCTGATAATGTAAAATACAGAGCTGGTGGCCTTTCTCCCAGCCTCCTATTCAAAAGGGAAGAACTGCTTCCTATTTGGTTTGTACTTGGTCCCAGACTATTTGGACTCATTCTATCTTTTTTTCCCAATTCTTAATAACTACAGTAACACCGAGAAGGCAAAAGATACACTACAGGCAACCCACTGAGGCACAAGGAAGATTATATACTAATGTTTTTTAATCTTAAAAAAGTAAGAGAAATAATTGCTTTCCAAGAACTTCAGGAAAAGAAAGTAAGCAAATGCTTTGGTCGAGACATTGTGAATTTAAGCTGCTTAAAATTATGCCCTTATATTCCAAGAATGAAGCTTTTCTAATTCATGTGAAACACACTCTTCCCATGTGGTAGGTTTTGATGTTAAAGCTTATGGATTTGTAGAAATATGCTTACCTACTATAAGGAACAGTTTTTGTAACTGAAACCTAGAAGAGTGCAGATAGAAGCATGACTTTGAGGGGATCAACTCCAGAAGTACTTGAACATTGCATAAGGATGTTATGTTTTTTTAAAAAAAGAAGTTCATTTTTTTCCATTTGAAGAAACTTCTAACTGTTATTTGGGGAATAGCATCAATAATTTAACAAAATAAATCTTTCCACTTGCTATGGCTGCATGAAGAAATTACCACATGTAACCCGATGAACTTTGGCTCTTTTTCTGTTCCTATTTTTCAAAAGCTATCTATGGGTAAGAAGACTAAATAATGCAGTGACAACACCACTCAGTATGTCTAGAAAATTGAGAGAAGGGACAGGGTTGTGTTTGATAGGAAAGCAGATTTGCTAAGATATGAAAAGGGGGCAGACATATTATACAATCTATGTTGGATGGCTTTTTTTTAAAAAAAAGCAATGCAAACTTTAGCATTTATTGTAACCCTGATATAACTTTGACTTTGCTCTTTTTTTCACCATGATCACAGGATTAATTGTATGGTGCAAACAGTAGTACAACTGTATGCTTGTAGCTGAGCTACCATAATGAAAACAAGAAATACCTATTGCAACCAAGAAATGTAGGGGTTAGAGATCTCATCAGACAGATTTCCTCCCCCCCCCCCCCCCCCCACTGGCAATCGCCAGCAAAACAGAAGGCATGCATGGTGCCTTGTAGTGACCTACACACACTTCTTCTGTCCCCCATCACCTGGGGCATCACAAAAAGGTGTGTTAACGCCCTGTCCCTGCCCCCATCAGATGAGCAGAAAGGGGCAAAAATGCAGGTATCTCCATCAGAGCTACCCAAAAGACATCTTACCTCCTGTTTGGCAATCAATGGGGTGGAGCCACAGCCAGCGGCATGTGATGGTGCTCGGCAGGCCCCATCTCCGAAGAGGAGCAAAGACCCCAAAACTCCCATTGTAATGAGGTGGCTTGTGCTGGTTGTAATGGAGTTAACTAGCACTGTACTTTATTTCGTAGACTCTCAATCTGCAAACTGTGAAATTGGTTTGAGACCAGCATAAACGTATTCCTCTTCCTCCAGATCTAAAGCGTATGTCACCTCAGCCTGAAACTATTGTATAAACCTGTCAACAGCTGATGCCATACTGGGAAAACTGTCTTGAATATAATTCCTCCTCTGCATCATCAGGATTTAAAGAGGAACCTGCTCCAGTTGGCTCCCATTGGTTGCTCACAAATCAGTGAACACTATTTTGACCAAAAAGCCTATTATGTGCTCACCAATACTTACTTCTAATTTCTTATGTTCATTTGTATTTGCTGTATACTGGAACCATCTAAGAAAATCATCATCTCATAACAGGAAGATATAAAGGCCAATATTTATTAGATATTACAAAGCAGACACTGAACATAATCAGAAATGTATACATCTTTAGAAGATAAAAGAACAACTTGGAACAACCATCCTAGTTCCATAGATAACATTATTTTGCTTCTTCTTATCAAAGGGTCAGGAAGGATTTCAAAATAAAAAATAAATTAAATTTCACATTGTCAGTATAAAAACAGCTTAGATGAACCCCTAGATCTTGGTTCAAGCACTGTTTTCCCACTTCCTTCTCCTACACAAATAAGTTATTCTGAAAATATGGAAAATGAAATTGAAGGGGGAAGGATTGGGCTCAGCTTGTAATACCCAAGAAACCTCTGTTCCTCATCATTTCCACAATTCACTTTTATCCTTCACTAAGCACTTTGCAGAGTAAATAAAGACAAGGAAATGTTTAGGCATTGCAAAACTTTTTGTAATGCACACATGCCATTGCTTTACAACACATGCTCAAATTTATTTGAATTTCTCTTATTCTAATGTTCAGCTAATCCAACACATTTCCTATTTCAAATTCTCTACAGCATAAAATTGTTCAGATGAAATCACAAGCTATCGATTAATTAGGTTTTTGAGTAAATACCTCAGGTGCTTCATCATCCACAGGCATAACCGTGATATTAAAGATGAGGCCAGTCCTCATTCCTCCCTGCTGGTCACTGACAGAGAATTCAAACTGTACAAACAACAGGTCAGGGCCCATTTCCATTAATGGGGGCATATATGCCACTTTCAGATGGTTTACAGCATGCTGGTAGAAAGAAATGAAAATGATTGCATTGCATGAATCCCATAAATTCATTTACGTACGATGCAAACTAAAAGGATATCGCAAGCTACTGCAACCACCCAGTTTGTTTGTCCCATCAATCAAGAATTGCTCCTTTACTATGAAATCTGGGAGAAAATCCCATCTTGTTTAACTTAACAGATCTCATATTGCTTTCACTCTAGTATGCATGAGGTCATAACTCACAATGTACTGGAATTTCATGGGATCTGGAAATACCTAATGACATATTCAATGCATTTTATTAATAGAAATCCCACACATGAGAATGTTAAGAAGTTGGGTCAAGCAAGAAATACACCTCGATAAAATGTTCCACACAGGTAATTAGTTAATCAAAAGCTTTGCTGCAAAGAAAAAAAAACACTCTTCTGGTCTGTTTCCTTGATCCCTTCTCTCAAGGAAAGTGCAACAGTTGTTGTTGTGTATCCACTTACCTGCGTGAAAGATGACAAAACGTGGGGAGGAGAATTTTTCATGTAACCTTTCACATTATCTGTGAAGATTAGTCTTCCTGCATCATAAAGCCTAACAAAGGAAGTGGGGAAATAGTTTAATACAGTATGCTATAGGAAAAAACAAGACAAAATGCTTTAGAAGTCTTATGGCACTTTAGGACTAATACATTCATTGCAAGTAATACCTTGTGGACCATATTCCATTTCATCTAAATGTGAAGTATGATCTGAGGAAATGGACAGTGCTATGTCCATAAATTCATATGTGTACAGCCAAAAATAAACTCAAAATGTGTTTTGCCAGTTTTCTTTCATTTGTCTGGAATCTTAACTAGGCTACAGTTACAAAAACAATTGTGGGAGTTCCTGTTTCTTTCAACAAGAAAAGATATGTGGTATGCACAGTTTCGGAAGTAAAAAATCATGATGAAATTCCTTTTCCTTCATTTATGCAGCAAGTCTCATGACCGCTGCAATACAAAAAGGAGGTGAATTGACTTTCCCCCCAGAATTCTCCATTATAGAATTACAGTAATGTCACTGAAGCTATTAAGAAAGGATGAGCACTTGACATTCCCCAAGCAGTAACCTCTGCTAAGAACTCTACTAGGAATAACCAGATTTCCTTTCGCTAGTAGAAGGTGTTACATTGATTTTTCCAAGAGAACAAGAAGCTAGCAGTTTTGTATTGGTTCAAGAAGATCTAAGTCTGGTGTGGATCTGGTGTTAACCTTTGGAAACTTAAGTACTACCTCCAACATTGTATCCAACTTTAACAGCAATCATTAGAAGAATTTAAGTGGAACCAACTTCTAAATGAACTTGTAACAAACAACTCTAAGCAGTTTGGTACTTAGTAAATGGACTCAGTAATTCAAGTTCAACATTTACCTCATCAATTTCTCCATTAAACTGGTATGGTTATTTTTCCAACTTCTTTCAGGCTTATGAATTAGAAACCCAGTCGATCTTGGAAATACATAAGCTAACAAAAATGCCAGGGGAACAAACTTTTCTTTTTTGTTTTTTGGGGTTTTTTTGTTTGTTTTTGTTTTTTTGTCGTGTCAGGAGTGACTCCTGGTGTGAGAGAATTGGCCATCTGCAAGGATGTTGCCCAAGGGACGCCTGGATGATTTTAATGTTTTTTATCATCCTTGTGGGAGGCTTCTCTCATGTCACTGCATGAGGAGCTCGAGCTGATAGAGGGAGCTCATCCACCTATCCTCGGATTCGAACCTGCGACCTGTCGGTCTTCATTCCTGCCGGCACAGGGGTTTAACCCACTGCGCCACCGGGGGCTCCTTTTTGTTGTATATGTGTGCTTTAAACAGTTAAGTTGGAGCCTATAACATATGTAAATGGTGAATTGCCATTTATTTAGACTTCCAGAAGATTCCTCTCTCTCCCTGGCCAGAGGAAGGTAGTCAAGGCAGCATGACTAGGGATGAAAAAATGTATACAACAGAATCTACATGAAGCCCCAGTGTCATACTTTGCCAATACATACTTTTAAACAGATTTCATTTCCTTATGCATGTAAAATAACCACATACCCAGGAGAAGTGGGAGAGAAACAAGCTTTTGTTACTGTATATAAAATTTGATTGTCTGGTGATTCAGCATCTGTAAAATGGAGGTGGTTCTTTGTGATGAGCGCAACCTCTGTTTCTTTGACAACAAGATGCCTTATTGCCCCAGGAATGGCTTCTGGCAAATGGTCTTTCACTGGCATAACGTGGATCATCACAATCTATAAAACAAATGACGTTTATGTTATACTCTTTATATACACATACATATGCATGCACGTGTATATAGCAGGCTCTTGGTGTCCACTGGGGTTTGCTTCCAGGACTCTGTGGACACCCAAATCCATTGATGTACATGTCCCATTAAATTAATTGGCCCAGTAAAATGGTGTCTCTAACATAAAATGGCAAAATCAAGGCATGCTTTGGTGATTATTTTAAAGAAGAGTTTGAAGTCTATGAATGCAGAATCCATGGATGCAGAGGGTTGACTGTATATATATACACACCAAAATATTACATCATCTATAACTGATGAATCTTTTTCCATTTATAATTAATATGTAGTCTGAAGCATCTGATATAATAAATATCATGTTAATGTTATCTTTGCAATTTTTTCAACACAAAGAAATATCTACTGAATAATTGTTAGTCTTTATTTGCTCTGCTGAATTGTTTTAATAATTCAGAAAACAATATACAAGAAAGGAGTATGAATCATAACATTATTTTGAATTAAAATATCGGCACGCTTCATTTGCAAGTCTAATTCTGCAGATATCCAAAGTACATACATGTGACCCTGTCAAGGATAGACTACACCTTTGTTTAAACCTGCTACTAAGAAAGTTGTGGAATACCAGACAGACTGCTGGACCACACAGATGGCATATGGATTAAACAGGAGGGACAAAAAGCAAGATCAGAGTCCTTGCAGCTGGCATCAACCACGTTGCCTGCAGCCTTGTAACTTTCGGAAGGGGTGGGGAGGGAAACAGACCATTTCTGCTGCTTTCCCTGAAGGGATATGGCTGGATTAAAGAAATGCCACATGTCAAAAAGGAAGGCACTTGTTATTCTTATCTCTATCTATCTATCTATCTATCTATCTATCTATCTATCTATCTATCTATCTTATGCATGTTTGAAGGATACCTTTTCTTGTAGTGACTGGATATACTTCTCAGAAAGAGTTATTGCACTGCACTTTTGTCCCATGCCCTTGTTCCTTAGCTACCATTTGCACTATCCCATTCCCTTGTCTGTTTACAGTTTGGCCATGTTTTATGGCAGTTGTCACCATAAGTTATTGGGTGTTATTCTGAATTTTAAATTGTTGGTTTATATGTTATTGGTTTTACTTTTTGTATTGCATAGTGTGTTCACTGTATGTGTTGTTTTAGACACTTTGTGTCATATGTAAGTCGCCCTGAGTCCCTTTGGGGAGATGGAGGTAGGGTACAAAACTCAAGTTATTATATTATTAATATTATTGTTGTTATATCTATACCCTGTTTTCCTCTCTTAAATGAAACTCAGAGCAGCTCACAATATTATAAACAATAGAAATTTAAACCTACAAGATATAAATAGCAAAGTAGATTTTAATATAGAATTGTTAAAAACAAATAATTAAAATCACATAAAACAATTGCAAATTGTTAAAAACAATACAGTTAAGGCACTACTTAGCATAGCAAACACCTCATGGCTCATTCTTAAAATCTTTTTTCTTGAAAAGTTTGCATGAATAAAAAGGTTTAACCTGCCATCAGAAGGCCAACAGGGAAGGTGCCATTTTGGCTTCCTTAGGTAGAGAGTTCCAGAGTTGGGAGGCAGCCACCAAGAAGTCTCCACCAACTGGGCCCACAATGGTCATAGGGCTAAGAGAAGGGTCATCCTGAAAATCTCTGGGACCAGTCAGGTTCATACAGAAAAATACAATCTGCCAAATAGCCTGGAACTGGGCCATAATCTTCTTCCAGCCCACTATTTCTTTTAAAATGTGCCTGTTTTCCTCTCTTTTTCTTACTTTCCCCAGTTGTTATCAGTTTATGTGAATTGCTGCAAACTGAATTCGCAGGACAGGACGTAATTTGCATTTAGCTAATTCAGTAAGGATGACAGTAGAGACAGGATCGGAATCTTGCCCTTTCCAGTAATCTCGTATAAAAGTACTGCAGCCTTTTCTAGCTTTTGCGTTCTTCCATCTTCATCTCTGCTGTTGAGTGGCTATATGTGTCTGTGAAATGTTGGAGGTCATGCAGTTTCACAAAGGATACATCTTAAACAATGACCATTCTTGATGTTTTAGGATCTTCTTTGTCAAGACTTCATGACACTTGAGAAATAAAACTTTTGACCATTTTTCAAATATTCTTTGAATATTCTTTTCATCCCCAACAGTGAGAAGAATCCCAGAATGTGAGAATCACAACACAGTTGATTTTGGGAGGCTGCTCTTCTTTAATTTTATATTTCAAAAAACCATAAATATTTACCTGAGGATCTGAAAGGTTGGGTGGTTCCTGGCTGTCAGCTAAGATAAATTCAAATGAGTCTTGGAAAATTTCATCTCCAAAATGATGATAGTATATAAGACCATGAAAGAGATCCCTTTGGAAAAAGCTGGACACAGAAATACCTTGGGATTTCAACAGAGCACAAAAAGATTTTGCAGAAAGCATAGCATTTAATTTTACTTCTACAAATAACTTTTCTCATAATGGAATCAGATCATGAGCCATATAGCCAGATATCATCTACTTTGACCAGTGGACGCTCTCCTCATGTTCTTTTGTCAGAGATCCTTTTTAATATTATTATTATAGCTGTTCCATATCAAACATACAGTTTATCACAAAACTAGGACTAATCTTCTACTCTCACCTTAGAAATACTACACAACAAATAAATTTCACTTTCACCTGGCCTTTAATAGACAGTAGATATCTAGCCTAAGATGCAGCCTGAAGTATTGAATGAAAATTTTGTCTCTAGCTTCCTTTCAATAAACATGATTAATTGTGCTACCTGATCCATCTGGCAATTGTTGCTTGATAAGTTCTCCTGCACTGGGCGGCTTGGATATTTTATAGAGGACATAATCATCACTCGAGTCAAAATCAGCTGCCATAAGTATAGGATTTTCAATAAGAGCAGTGTCCCCTTCTTCCAGCTCAAGGACAAGATTGTTCACCAAGAATGGTGGGCTGTCATCCTTTGGAAGAATATTAATAGGAAACTTGTGTCTAATACTGTGCTTTCCATCAAAGATTCTGAAGACTATGTCATCCCTGGTTGTGTCACTGTCATCATGATGATACCTGACAACTCCATCTCTGAGTTCTTTAACTCCAAACTTGAAACCTTTTTTCCCTACACAAAATCAAATGAGAAAGACAACAGTTCTGTTCACATATTACTGAATTAATATTTAATATTCAATATTTAATGGGGTACGTACACCAACAAGATTATTATACCCATCCACTCTAGGATCTGATTTGTCTCTTCCTATTGTTTCCATAAGGGTGGCTCTTTTGACTAGCTACAATTGACCAAACAAAGACTGTATCATTTCAACTTTGTGTAACAGATCAATGGGCTCAGATTATAAGAATTGATGCATTATTTGACACAATATATGAACAGCAATATTGAAAAACTATTCTGAAAATTAGATTTTACAACTTGCTGAATCAAGACCACATTTATTTTTACACACATATTATTCATTTTATATGGCAAGCATTGAAAGGATTTGCCAAGTTCACAAGCTCTGTTTTTATGCTAATATTAGAATACGATTTAATTGCCAATTTGCTACAAAAAAAACTGTACTCAAAATCTTTCAGAATACAGAAGCAGCAACACATTTCCATTATTTGAAAAAATATTTGCATTATATTCTAAATAAGTATTCAAAAGTTCCACTAACTTTAGTAAAGCTTTTCCCCAGGTAATTCGGTGTAGAATTGCTGCCTAACATACAAAAGTTAATACACTATCCTTAGGAATGTAATTATAGATTGGAGTGTTGTGCAGTTTCCAGCTGCATTTTCTCCTGCCATTTCGCCTTCATCCTCTGAAGATGCCAGCCACAGATGTAGGTGAAACAGCAGGAGAAATGCTGATAGAACATGGCCATACAACCCAGAAACCACACAACACTCCAATGATTCTGCCTGTGAAAACCTTCAACAATAATTATAGATTCTTCAGTATTATGCTTGTATAATACATGGTCAATTTATGTCAAAATTCTTGTGTTGAAAGATATACCTTGCTTTATAATATAGAAGTTTACAAAATAATTGAAAGCATATCTGGCTTGTTTCCCCTTCAACTTTTCTCCATACCAACCCAATGTTTGTTTCTTTAACAGATAAATGAGTCATTGTCATAGATTGAAATAGCTCATTTCTTTGCCATTTGTGAATATGCAACTATAATTACAGTGAAGTTTAAAAAGCACAAGGCAAGCAGTTGAATCACTGCATTTCATTATATTTTTGTTTTTATTTTCTTTGACATCTAGTAAAATCCCTGTTATATTCTTATATAAATTATCTATTTTGTACTCTTTTTGAGAAGAGAAAAAAAGAATGGTAATGTTTAATTTTTAACTGACCAAATATTTGCATAATTATTTACATTGTAGGAAGTGCCATACCTTGTACCGTGAGCCAACCATGATTTAAGCCTTCCACCACAAGCAGTTGAACACTATGAAGGTTGTCATTATCTACAATCTGAAGGGATTGCCAGGTAATGGGATGAGACTGTCCTTCTAACAAGTCAAGCCCTATACATAAGAATTTTAAGTACAATGGAGTTACATGGTTCATAGTAAAATTATAGAACAAATCAATATTGAAATTCTCTTGGACCTCTGCTTAAGTCACAATATTAGTCGCAACTAGAACGTTTAACTGAATCAGGCATCAGTCAAAAGAGGAAAATATATTATAGCTGAATGAACTCAATAAAGGAGGGCCCTTGAATTTGCGAGACTGGGCAAGGCTATTGATAGCCAGAGCCCTTGGGAGATCTCCAATGAATGGGGCTGCCATAAGTCAAAAGGACTTATCACATGGACCTTGAAAAGTGTGGGGGCCCATCTGTCTAGCAAAGGGAATAGTACTGTTAGATCCCCAATCATCCCATTTCAAGTTCTGTCTTCCTATCACATGTTTCTCTCTTCATGTTTTCGCCTGTTGTTGCCCATGTTCAGAACCATCACATGGGAAATCCTTTTCTCCAGCCTCTCCATATTACTTTTTTTAAATAAGGGAAAACTTCAGTATCTAAAAGCCAAGAGATCCCTTGCTCTCCCCAAAGCCCCTTGTATTAAAGGAAGCGGGACACTGCTTTTAACACTCCTCTTTCCATGGGATCCCTTGCCCTCCCCAAATCCCCACACACCAGAGGAGGTGATGTCTCCTCACATGTCACAATTTTAAAACACTCCTTTTAATGGGATCTTCCCCTCTTCTCTTTGAATTCCTCCCTTTGAGTAGATCAGCAGAATTTTGACTCCACTTTTAACACTCCTTTCAATTTGGTGGTCTCCCTCTAGAGGAGATCAGCACATTTTGAAAACATTTATTTCAATGGGACCACACAGTTTTTAAGCCTCTTTAAACAACAGAAGGGTCATGGAGAAGCACTTCATAAAATAGAGTATAATGAAGAAATCTACCACTTCCTATCAAGCCTAGATTACTATTAAAGACAAAATGCAGTGAAAGCAAAGTGGTGAAGAATGCCCATTCCTTCACATCACCAAAACGATTCAACATGAGTGAATCTATCAGATCCCATCACATGTGTTCTTCAGCATTATCAATGGTTCTGGCATGCATCAGGGGCTCAAAACACAATTTCTCATCTGTGTTCTGAACTCCCTCCTTTCAGCATGCTTCAGCTCCATTTCAAGGATGGAAGGCAACAGATGATGGCTGTAAGTAGGCAAATATCATCTGATAGGTTCCATGCCACGTTGTCCTTGAAATGGACCTCAATTGTCCTACAACGAAGAAACACTTCATGCGATGAGGTCAAAAGTTGTCTTAATGGAAATAACAACAACAACCACAGTATGTGAGAACCTCAACATAATCATGGGAATTTTTTCCAGACTGGATAGGTATCTATTTAATTTTATACTCAAACTATTCACAATGGCCCAACATTATTTATTTATTTATTTATTTATTATTACTGGTGCTTTTACCCCGCCCTTCTCAACCCCCGGAGGGGGACTCAGGGCGGCTTACAAAAAAGGCAGAATTCGATGCCTATACATATTAATACATAGTATACAAAAATATAAAAGAACAATATACAAAATGTAATTAAAACGGTTATCACAATAAACATCAGCACTGGTACCTAAGACATTGTATAAACATCATATAAAAACATCATATAAAAGTCATTCTTATAATCAGCGTTTCGTTTCCAGAGTTCCACATAACCAATCCGTTAGTCATTTCCTAGCCATCAATGGAGTTCTTCTTTATTTACCCGCTTGTCCAAATGCCTGGTCCCAGATCCATGTTTTTAGTTTTTTCCTGAAAGAAAGGAGCGTAGTTGCAGATCTGATTTCCCCGGGGAGAGAATTCCATAGGCGGGGGGCCACCACCGAGAAGGCCCTGCTCCCCGTCCCCGCCAATCTCACCTGTGATAGAGGCGGGGTCGAGAGCAGGACCTCCCCAGAAGATCTTAGGCTCCGGGGTGGGACGTAGAGGGAGATCCGTTCGGACAGATACACTGGGCCGGAACCGTATAGGGTTTTATAGGTCAAAACCAGCACCTTGAATTGTGCTCGGAACTGGATTGGCAGCCAGTGGAGCTGACACAACAGGGGGGTGGTATGCTCCCTGTATGACGCCCCGGTGAGCAATCTGGCTGCCTCTCGCTGGACTAGTTGGAGTTTCCGAGCAGTCTTCAAAGGCAACCCCACGTAGAGTGCGTTGCAGTAATCTAATCGGGATGTAACAAGAGCGTGGACCACCGTGGCGAAAGACTTCCCAAGGTACGGGCGCAGCTGGCGCACAAGTTTTAATTGTGCAAAAGCTCTCCCGCCACCGCTGAGACCTGGGCTTCCAGGCTCAGCAATGAGTCCAGGATCACTCCCAAGCTGCGAACCTGTCTTCAGGGGAGTGTAACCCCGTCTAACACAGGCTGTAACCCTATGCCCTGTTCGGCCTTACGACTGACCAGTAGGACCTCTGTCTTGTCTGGATTTAGTTTCAATTTGTTAGCTCTCATCCAGTCCGACACAGCGGCCAAACACCTATTCAAGGTCTGGACAGCCTCCTTGGTGACAGGTGGAAAGGAGTGACAGATTTGGACATCATCTGCATAGAGATAACATCTCATTCCGAAACTCCGAATGATCTCTCCCAGCGGTTTCATGTAGATGTTAAATAACATCGGGGACAAGATTGAACCCTGTGGGACTCCACACAACAACGGTTGTGGGGCCGAACAGGTATCACCCAATAACACCTTCTGGGACCGTCCCTCAAGGAAGGATCGGAGCCACTGCAATGCAGTGCCCCCGAGCCCCATGTCCATGAAGCGCCCCAGAAGGATACCGTGATCGACGGTATCGAAGGCCGCTGAGAGGTCCAGCAGAACTAACAGGGACACACTCCCCCTGTCCAGTTCCCTGCGTAGATCATCTACCAAGGCGACCAAGGCTGTCTCAGTTCCATGTCCCGGCCTAAAGCCAGACTGTGCCGGGTCTAGATAATCAGTGTCTACCAGAAACCCCTGGAGTTGTGTTGCCACCACACGTTCCATGACTTTGCCCAAATAGGGGAGATTGGAAACTGGCCGATAGTTGTCGAATTGAGTGGGATCCAGTGATGGTTTCTTCAACAGCGGTTTTATAATAGCTTGTTTTAAGCTCGCTGGAAATTTTCCTTTCCTGTAAGGAGGCATTAACCATCACCTTCACCCACTCTGCCAAACCCCCTCTGGCTTCCTTGATCAGCCAGGAAGGGCAGGGGTCTAGGATGCATGTGTGGGTCGCACCTCTCCAAGGATCCTGTCCACATCCTCAAGCTGAACCAATTGAAACGAATCCAACAAAACTGGACAAGCAGATGCTCTCGTTACATCCCCAGAGACTGCCGTTAACATGACGTCAAAACCCGACCGAATCCGCTCAATTTTATCCGCGAAGAATCGAGCAAATGCTTCACAGCGAGCCACCGAGTTGTCTGAGGCCTCGCTTTTTGGCGGGTGTAACAGACCCCTGACAACTCGGAAGAGCTCAGCTGGACGAATTTTCGCAGATGCAATATTGGCTGCCAGAAATGTTTTTTGCGCAGCCGCTATTGCCACTTCGTAGGACCTTAAAAAGGTCTTCAGAAGTGTTTGAGCTGGTTTGGTGGGGTTCCGGCGCCACACGCACTCTAGCCTCCTCTTTTCTCGCTTCATCGCTGCCAGCTCCTTAGTGAACCAAGAGGCTGGTTTAGCTCGGCTATTCGAGAGGGGGCGTTCCGGAGCGATTGTATCAATGGCCCTGGTCAACTCACTATTCCAGCGAGAGACCAGGACATCGACAGGATCGTTAGCCAAGGAGGTGGGAGAATCCCCAAGAGCCATCAGGAATCCATTTGGATCCATAAGTCTCCTGGGGCGGACCATTCTAATAAGTCTCCTGGGGCGGACCATTCTAACATGCTTTTCTCCAAGAAATAAAAGACTACCCATAGCATTCTAATTATGTTTAGATGTTCACAGACCTTTCATACCGAATATATTAAGAACCTGCATATGTAAACACAAAGCAGACAAGGCCTTCATAAATGAAATTCCCCTTACCCATGTTCCATGCAACTCTAGGAGCATCTGTTACAGCATTTCGTACTGAAAAATGGATACTGATAGGCAAGCTGTTCATGAAGAAGCTATCAATTGCTTGAAACTCAACCTAGGAGAACAAAATTAATGCAACATATTTGTGACCATTGAATTACAGGCATAAAGTAACTTGAAAGCATGCAAAGAGAAGAAGTGGGAAAAACACTCAAGTCTCATTACTCACCTCATAGTTCTGTCTTTCAGAATGAGAAATATTGGATGGTTGGAAAGCAACTTTTGTGTCATACAAATCTTGCCAAGTGAAGGATCTAATAGCTTTTGATTGATCTTCCAGATGGGTAATGTATCCCAGAGGAGGAGGCTTAGTAATATTAAATACCAGTCCTTGCCTTTGAGTCTCTTCATCTATAGCATCCAAAGTCACAGTCGTAAGAGGAGTAAGAATAAATTCATCTATTTCCAAGATGAACATAGCCATGAATGCAGCTTGTGGTTTTCCATTTGGAATGGCACCTTTTATTTTTACAGGAATCCACACATTTTCTGCCTACAAAGGAAAATAAAGGAAAATAAATTTATCTTCATGTCACTGCAGAAGGAACAAATACACATCATTTCTCAATAGCAGCTAAAATCTCCCTCTCCCTCTCTGTCTCTCTGAGTTTCAAAAAGAAAATTGTTGAAATATCTGTCAGCCATACAACAATGGAATGTAAAGGTACTTCAAGCACTCCACCTTCAGCCAGTGCAGGAATTCACATCTGAAATAATCCAGCACTGTAGTGCATTTGTTCAACAAGGTGGTCATTTGCCATAACATCAATGTATAGTGAGGATCTTGATCCTCATGTGTATGAGAAGGGTAGAGGGGGAAATGGATGTCATATAGAAATACAATTAATTACATTTCCAAGATGGATATTCTCACCTGTTGCTGAAATCTGTTCTTTTTGTCTCTGATTTCCACTTGAATTGAGATATAATCCTTATCAGGTGATGGAGGACTGAGGTGTTGATACCTAATACCCATTTCTAGGAAGTCTTCACAACTGATCTTTAAATCATGTATTTCTTTGAACCCTAAATGACAGGCAGCATTACTCAGACTAGGCAATTTTTCAACTGATCCAAAACAGGAAGGAAAACACACTTTTTACAATGCAAATGCAAATACCATAGTTATCCCTCTTTTTTAAAAAAATCTGTTTTTTATACTGAAATTAATTTTGCAAGAATGTTCATATCTTTAATACTGGTAATTAATAAACCAGATTTTGAATGTCCTAGTAATTTCTGTTTGTGCATTCTTACTATATATTCATCATACCACCATATCAAGGTCAATTTATTAGGATACATATATACAAATGCAGGTATTCAATGGTTTATCAACATCCTGATGAATTGAAATAATGGTTTGTTACAACCTAATTCTCTTGCTGTGAAAGGTTTTTGAGAATTTGTAAAATGGAATCATACACTATAAAGAAATTAATACTGCATGACTACTTCATATTTTTAAGAAGTGTTTTCATTTAATCTAAATGGTTATACGCAAGAGCCAGATCATACTTTGATTATAAACTATGACTAAGTATTTCTTTCTCTTTTAATTAAAAATACATGTGAAAATAGGGCCTTGTGCAATTTATCAAAGAGCTGCACTGTGTTCCCAAATATTATGATATTATGATCCATCATTCAGAGAAATTTCCCATCTCAAGAGTTAAATGTTAATGGGAGAGGTCTCTGATTTTGGAAACACAACCGCATAACTTCAACTTAACACAGATTTATACTATTACTTACTTACTTTAGTCCTCTTTGCAGATTCAACAATTTTATTCATTATTATTAGAATAACTCTAAATGGTTGGCTGCTGCAGCCCTTGTTGGGGCTTTCTGACGTTGACCACTGCATTAATGTGAAGAAAGGAGTGAGGGGTTGCATGCATGTGAGAAATACAGGTTCATATCTCTTGCTTAATAAGCCAGAATTGATAGTCTAAATACAATTGCTGAATCAACTAGATGGGGCATAAAGTGCACCTGGATAATCATGTGGTGTCATTGCAAATGGAATAGCTACAATATATTATTTCGAGAAGAAAATTATGAGATCACAGTATCATTATCTAAAAGAACAAGTTAGTGTCTATACCTGAGGAAGAAAATGACCTTCATTTCTATCTCTATACCACAGAGTGGAGTGGTGATTTTGACCAACATATCCTCACACAGGATGCTCTGGAAGAACTCTCACATTTAGCTATGATGTGGACTTTTTAAGGGACCTAAATGTTGCATTTGAGTCCAATGTGTGGTGCTCAGAGCTGAGGGGTAAAAAAAGCAGTGAAAATGGTTTGGTTTTGTTTTTTTTAAAAAAAATACAGGATTGGGAGCATTGTTGGAATAGTCAGAGATGTAAGAATTTCCCTTTTTCTTTTAAAATACCACTTCCCATGTTTTCTAGAATTTTGTCTACAGAGCATCTACTCTCCTTCATCATAAGGTCTTACTTTTCTCTCTTAGCGATGAAAATATACCATAAATGACTAGAATTTAGACAGATGTTTAAAAGCATCTTCTTTTCAAATAATAAGTTATTTTCAAATAATAAGTTTAAAAAGGAAAAAAGAAAACAACCTTTCTTCAGTTTGATGGGCATTTGTTCATCTTCACTTTGCTGGTTTTTTGGATCTTCAACAATTAGTTGGCCAACAGCAGGAAATTGTGATTCAGATGACATGATCCTTATTGTGCAGATTTTAGCAAATCCATTGTATCTAAAACTCAAAATGTTTCTGTCAATGGGTTGAGAAATTCCAAAGAAATGTGGAACTTCTAGAGGCACATGTCCAAACTCAGCAAGACTTGATGATGGGTTTCTGATTTTTACATCAATGACAAATGTTTCTACCATAGTCTCCAGTGGTGTAAACCTGAAAAATGTGAGAAAGTTAAAATCTGGTTTTTTATTACTCAAGGAGAAAATCATTGGTAAACTATGCTTGAATATAATTTCAGTAATGTTCATTAAAAGATGAGGATTTAGGTGATCTGAAAAGAAAACAGGGTTTATCAGTTATTTAACTTTCTCTCAACTGTCTTTAAACAGAGCAATCAATGTTATTCAGGCTTCAGAGTCAATTCCTGTAACACAATTGGTAAAATGATTCAGTTTCTCATAAACTAAAAGTGCTCATTAAAAGAACAACCAAACAGAAATGCTTCTCCCCTTCTTGGGGTGAACAAAAAAAAATCAACAATCCATTATACTTCTTCATCCATTTACAATAAAATAAATTTCTATGATGAACATTCAAAAACAAAACAGTAGGGGACAAAGAAAAGGAAGAACAGTTTCTTGAGAAAATGCTAACTGAGCTCAAATACAATTAGAATTAAGAGATCAACAATTTGCAGTTCCTTATATCAGAATAACAAACCATCAACAAATGTACATATTTTTATAAATGTGTATTTTTGTTAAAACATAGTAAGCAGCTAGCAAATGGTATGGATATACCTGTATACTCTCAGTATCACCGTATCTTCTTTAAGGAGGGGACATCCATTATGAATGTACCTCACTTCATTGGGTAGAAAGTGGCAATCAAATACCTGATAAGGAAAATGGAAATAAACCATGGACAAAATGAGCAAATATCCAATGTGGTTTTTAGAAAAGTGGAAGCATTAGGACCCTATACCGAAGATCTGTATGGTGAGATGTCAGAAGTCAATGGTTGGAACAACTAATGGTAGTGGCCAGTAAGTAGGTGGAGAAATCCGGAGCAGCAAGGAATATGCATTCTTTTAATGGAGGTCAGTGCTTTATGTTATCACATGTTTAGGCCATATGTGTGTATTCTCAAGAACAACTGCCAATTTTATTCATTGAACTTACAACTGAGTACACCAGAGACCAGAGATCTTCTCTTTGGGAAGATAAAATAAGGAATAAATGATGATGATGATGATGATGGTGATGGTGATGGTGATGATGATGATGATGATGATGATACCCTATCTGGAGCATTATCTATTGCCCCATCTGGATAAGTAGTGCTGATGGAGAAGTTGGGGGTGATGTGAGTGGCTAGGCAAATCTATAGATGATCTATACATGATGAACTAGTTTAGAAAATGAGCTGAATTATTTCTTTCTCTAAAACAATTTGGTTCATTTTTAATCAATCAATGGGCCCGTCCATCTGTGGCTTTAAACTAATTTCTAATGCTCATACTTTACCAGCCAAACTTGCTCATAAGAACACTTTTTTCAAGCCAGTTTTATGGTGTGTCAATGCAATAAACATAGATGGCTAGAAGGATCTCAGAATGTGACATGAGTAAATTTACAGTGTCAGAAATATGAGTAATCTAACACAGCTGTTTCATTCAAACAAACAATTTGCATTTCATCTGTAATCAGATGTTTTAAAAGGAGAAGCTAGAATAATGGTACTTACCTGAGGTGTCAGTTTCCCAACTCTTTGTGTCACTGGTTCATTTATCACCACTTCTACTTTGCAAGAATCTCTCTCTTTAGAAATGTTGAACTGCAGCTCATTTTCAGTTACATATGTGATTTGTCCTCTTTCAGCACTGATCCCTTTATTCACCAAGACAAGCTTGGCTACTATTAGAGGTTCAAGGTTCCCCAGGAGAATAAGAACACTCAAAGCCAGAAACACATTCACAGCTTCCATCATTGTGCTCTTTCTATTTTCTTTCAGCTAATAAAAACAAATGTTAAAATATGAAAATATGGAAGCCCATACACGTAACAACAGAAGAATTTACACTTGGAGCTGAGTATAATGAATGGGTCAGGCTCCTTGTTTTCCCATCAATATTCAACAGATAGCAAGTGTTCTGATATTCTTCAAAGCAGTCAGAAATACACTATACAGAGAAGGCGAAAGATACAAATGAAAAAAGAATAACTCATAATATCCAAAAGTGGTTTTGGGATATTTTGGTGACACATTGTATCAAATTATTTTTTGGTCTGATTCATAAGTTACTACTTTCCTTTCTTTCACTTTGTAGTTTCTTCTCCAAAAAGTCTTCTGCCCACTCTGTTTCTTGTTGACTGGAGACAATGAAGGTTTTGTTTGGGGTCTATCAGCAAACCAACATCAAAACGCAAATCCTGCATAGCCAACAGATGTGGGAGCGAAAAAGTCAGAGAGTACAGTATGAACCCTGTATTCTGATGTGGATACCCTGAAATTGTTTATAATGGTGGCTCCTACATCGCAAGCTTGGGTTGAAAGAATATCATAGAATCATATCAGAGGACTTAGAGCAATCCATAAAAACTTCTGGGGTAATGTATTTTGAAGTGCTGACAGATGAAACTATGAATATCAAATATGTGAATAAAGGAGTTTCTATATAATGAAATATAAATGTGAGGGCTTTTTAAAGCTTCCAAATGGTGTGCCAATGATGCTATCTTCAGTGGGACAGGTAAAAACAGGTAGTGCCTTAGTAGTGAAACTGTAATAGAAAAACAATTTGTTAGATAGCAGCTAGGCAAAGAACTCAAATAGTGCATTTCTAGATTATATTGGAAGTTATGTGACCCATACTAGCCATAATAAATAAAATATTTGAAAATCAGTTTTAAACAAACAACTGGAGTAAAATGTTCCATAAAATATTTCCATATTCAGCAAGTGATGAAGTATGCTTGAATATAATTTCAATAATAAGGTTGGCAACAACCTGAAATAAACAAGCTGTCAGCCATTTCTTTGAACTTGAGCTCAAATACAGCTGAATTATGACTGGTGCAACCTGCCTCTCAAACTGTTTTTCACTATCTTCTCACTAAGGCACAGTTTGTGCTTTACTAAAATGTAGGCCAAAAGATTCTACTTCCACACAATCCTATGCACTTTTATAGGACATTTTGTCTTTTTAGAGCTTTCAAGGGGGACTGATTGAAACCCCTGATGTTTCTGCATGTTGACGAAAGGGCTTACACTGAAGGTACAAAATAGTTTAGATTTACTGTCTGTGTTACTCTATTAAGAAAGGTGTTGTTTCTCTCTCATGCCAAACCTTGCTCAAGTGGCAGCCATAACTCTTTCTGTACCACCAATACCCAGCCAAAGACCCCACCAACTTCATAAAACTTCATTTTATGGTCAATGTAGACTCATATAACTGCATTGACCTGCATTATATGAGTCTATACTGACCATTTAATGCAGTTTGAAACCGTATTATATGTAGATGGGCTCTAAAGTAATATAGAGCAGCGGCCTTGGCCATAATCTTCTTATAAAACAGCACCCCTTTCCTTTTCCTCCTGCATCCACCATCGGATTCCAGATCTGTCAGTGACTTTCCTATCCAACTACTTTATCACATTAGGTTGAGGATTCACTACGCATTTTGGCAAATCCATGGGGGTCCTGGCAGAGGGCGTGGAGAACTCATGTATCGTGCAACTTACCTTGACCCCCTGTGTTGCTCCTAAGGCAACACAGGAAATATATCATGTTGAGGCAGTGGCAGTGAATGCTGCTTCCTCTCCTCTTTCACCATGGAGACTGGCCAGAAGTTGGTGTGTGCCGTGGGAAGGGCTTCATGGTGAAAGGTGAGAACAAGTGGCATAGGATGGTTAAATCGGCCCATCTGATGTGGTCACAAGTCTTCTGTGAATGAGAACCCAAGTTTAGTAGTGGCAGAAGCAAATGTTGGGCTGTTAGACGCATGCTTCCACTTTCAAGTCAGTGATGAAGGTGCTCCTGCTTAGTCATTCAACTAAGATGCAAGTATCTGTGAAATAGCGCAAAGTCAAGAATTCCCACCATTTCAAAGATCTTCCTGTCTCTAGCCATGTCTCCGTGCAGCTCACAAAAATAGTGCAGGTCCACACATCTTAAGTTTTGGATTTTGAAGCATGTCAGATTTTGGAATCCCAAGTGTAAAAGAAAACAAACAAATGACAAATGTGGTGGTGCGTGTTGCTGAGGCTTTGTTTATTTTATATATATTTGAGAGATTAGTGAAGCTTGTATGAGAGAGAGATAGATGATAGATGCCTCTAGACTACGGCCATATAGCCCGAAAAAACCTACAACGACCCATAGATGACTTTTCTAACACCTGTTTGTGCCTCTTTAATATGTGTGACCCAATACCACAAAACTGTATTCAGATCCACAGGATCTTCAGCTTCCCTTCTGTGGAGAATATTTTCTTTAATACTTTGACTCAAGTCTTCAGTATTCAAACTGAACAGAAAGATATTTATTTAAAGAATACTCAGGTTCACACAAGCAGGACGGTTACACATTATCTTCTTGTTGTTGCTACAGTTAACTCTTTGTTTTTTTGAAAACATGGAACGGTTACTATTAATCTTTAAGAATGGCTTCTCTTCTGCCACCTCAATGTTTATTGCTTCCTTTCCTTAAAACTTAGTTTCTTCCCTCAGTCTCTTGATTGGGTCACTTTAATCTTATGGTTTCTTCACTTTACTTATAATTTGACTGAATATTTACTCTTTGAAGAGCACCTTTTACCTCAGTCTTTCTGACTTACATTAAATCTAAATTTCCACTTTTATTACTTCAGAATTGACACTGAAGGCACAATAAGACTATTTGGAATCTCTTTCCTCTAGCACCCCAGCTAGATTATACTTAAGTTAATTACTCTTACTCTTAAAATACCAAGGCTGAAGGATAAACTGGTTATAATAAACCCCTGAGTCCTGCCCTCACATAGCTAGGAGCACCCTTTAGCCCTCCAGCTAAAGACTTAAACCCCTTTGGTTCGGCTTCTCCACGAACCAACCTTCCACTTTGGTTCACTCACCAAAGTCCGACTTTTTAAACTGTGCTCTCTCCTTCAGTGGCAGTTAGCTCTGCCCCTTTTGCTTCTGCCTGGAGGCCTACATCACTATGGCAACGCATCAGCTAAACAAATGGCTACATTTGAAACTAACCTGCCTGCACTCAATAAAGCCTTTTTTTTAAAAAAAATAACTCCTATAAATTAAGTAATTCGTTACACCAGGTAAGGAACACTCAGCCTCTATGTTATGTGCCATTTTGAGATTCCTACTAACCCTCCTGGCCAAAACAGTTCCCCAACAATACAAACACTCAAAGGGATCTGAGCCAAATACTCTAATTGGTCTTTATTAATAACAGGATTAGAGCTGGACTAGAAAATAAGAGTTGGAACTAGGGGTGGACAGAAGTTTTACTGAAACTGACAGTCTCGATGAAAGTAGCATGTTCACACCTCCTGAGATTTGTCACAAATTGCCTTGTGAATTTGCAGGCTTACAGGGTGTTTCCAAGAAATAAAGCGTGCAGAAAACAATGCATATTTTAATACATAATAGGATAAAATGTGCATAATTGAAAAACACACAGAAACATGCTTCAGTTAAATAAATGCCCAAGTTAATTTTGGAAAATTGTCTAAAGAGTGCAGGGTGGGATGAAAATACAAAGTATTGCAGCTTAACAATGAGGGGAAGAAAATGTGGACAGGATTTGGAGAAATTTATTGAAATAGAAACAGAAAGAAAGTCTTCCCTATTGGCAATACTAGCTGGAAACAGGAAATTTTTAATTGCTTATGACTTTATTGTGATAACTTGTATCGTGTAAACCGCATTGAGTTGCCTGATTGGGCTGAAAAATGCGGTATAGAAATAAAGCAAATAAAATAAATAATAAATAAAATAAATAAATAAATTTAAGGCAGATGTAAAATATAAAAGATTCCATCTAAACATTAGAAAGAACTTCCTAACTGTAAGAAATTCAAAAACAGAATGGATTCTTCTTCTATAGTGAGTTTCTAACAAGATGAGATGGTTATATCTCAAGAATGGTATAATACACACACACATTCTTGCGTGTAGGAGGCTAGATGACCCCCACTGTCAGTTTCATCTCTGTGTTTATAATTCTATGACTTGAAATTATCAGGTTGAAAATGTATGCATTTAGAATTTTCAAGCAAAAACTTAGATGCTAATTGGGTTTTTGCCTGGTGGTCAAACTGCAGCTAAAATTGTCTATGAAGCCAAGTCTGCCACTGTAAAAGAAACAGCTTTTTTTAAAGTCATTATCATGTAATCTGTTAACAAGGCAAGAATGAAGCTGACACAACAGAGCTCTTCAAAATTTCTTAGGTGGCTTTAAATGTATTCCCTAAATCTTTCATAACTGTCATGAATAAAATACAAGACATGCTGATGTAATACTTGAAATACTATCTGCTTTCACCATTTATGTGACAGTTTAAGAGATTATTTTCTCTGACATTTATTTTATTCTCAAAATAAGTAATATACAAAAAGGTTGTTATATTTGGTAAGTTTTAATAGAAAAAGACACTTAAACTGTAACTACTTTATAGTTTAAATAATTTGCAAAATCATCTCCTTTCTATCAAGACCTAATATACACATAGGAGAGAAAATCATTTTCAAATAGTGCTTTTCTAGATTATATCTTTCTTTTATGTATGAACTGCAAATGTTGAAAATATATAGCATTTATTAAGTAACTGATTTCAAATGCACAGCAAACTAAAGTAATAGTTCTGTTGAAACACATTAAGGACCTCTTCACATGGGGCACATTTTGGCAGCAACTCCGGTTCCACAGCAGCTTTACCACTGGATCCCATTAGACACTAGATGAGTACTTCCAGGGCAGTTTCATGGCAAAACTGCTGTGGAACTGGAGTTGCTGCTGAAAAAAGTTGTTGGCAGCAACACGTGAGTCTTCCTCTAGTTACACTGCTCTCAACAGAGCAAGCTGATCGGTGGACACTGTGATAAGGTCAGGGGAAAGCCAGGACAGAGTGGGGCATGGGGCGATATCTTCCAGAATCCTTGGCAATTCCAGTGGCACATCTGAAGAGGTCCTAACTCAGAGTAGAAACAAACAAAATAGGGACACGTGCATGTTATAACTGGTTATCTTTAACATTGAAAGCTTTTTGCTGTAGTACTGAATGCTATGGTACGGAAAGAAGTGTGATATCTTTAGACCATCAGAATTGGCAATGGTAAGGGATTGTGGAGCTGTACTCCAAACATTGGAAGAGCTAAACGTTTCCCACTACGGGTATAGTACATGCAGGTATATCGAAAGGGACAAATTT